TTAATATTGAATATTGTGATACGCGTGACTAATCATATTATGTTTTTCAGACTAGAAGTATGACTCATCTAAAATGTAAAAGTCTGAGTGCTGATAAATTTGTTTTTAGAAAATTGATCGATTCTGTGTTTTTGTGTGTGTGTGTGTGTGTCTGATAGTATTTTGGAGGAACTGATAAAATGAATGGAGTTGAATGGGAGTAGACCGTGAGGCAGGCAAAGAAGATGATAGTAAAAGTTAGAGGTCCCTTTTACACTCCTTTAGGCTTATTGGGTATATAGGGCTAGACCAATATATTTTTATTGGCACTTGGTGGGTGATGTGGTCAGCATCACGCCGGCCGCCTTTACTTCCCAGGACTGCACCTGGTACCCACTCAAGGCTGGGTGAACCTGGGAGCCTAGGTCATTTTTGAAAGAAGAAAAAAAGTGACTGTCAGGTCGCGCACCTTTCTATATATATATATATATGTGCAAACCTCTACAAACACTAGGAGTCATAAAATAAAAAGAGGACAGTCACAGAGATAAAAAGAGATGGATGATACCTGCAGCAGGGAACCTCAAGGGCACGGAATGCTGAAGAGGAAAAGAGGACGAAGAAAAAGATAATGACTAGCATCGGGCAAATACAAGTTTATTATTGAATGTCTATATTAGAGCTCAAGTTTTTTAAACTTCTGAACAAACAAACTTCATTTCCAAAGGGTTACAAACAGCATGCAGCCTGTCTTACATTCAGCCCTTCCATGCATTCATCTTTCAGACGGCAGTTGCATTTTATATATCAAGCATATTATCTCAGTATGTCAAATTTCACTGTATAGATGTAAATACTGAATGTGAAGTTGCTTAGTAAAACCCCCCCCCCCCCCCCCCCCCCCCCCCCCCCAAAAAAAATCTATATAAGCTGGGGTTGGGTTAGTTTGTAACATTTATAGAGGCCATGCAGCTGTTGAGTTTAGTTAAGTCAAAAATTGACATCACAGTACTCGGAGCATTCCTATGCATGCTCCGTCCTCATCTTCAGCAGCCAGCGCAGAGTTCCAATGCTGATGGTACCGGTCCCAATATGGTTATATGTCTGTCTTGCCTTTCCTCTGAGTGTAGTGAGCTGGCCAGACCCTCTGGTTACACACCCAGGTGCCTCATTCTCTCCAGTCCATAATAACCTTGTTTCTTTACTAATTCTGCTGCTTGTTCCCAAAGGGCCTTGACCACCTCTGCCTTGTCATGTATAGGCCATGCAACTAAGAGAGGTTATTTGTAGTAAATTTTCTCAGAGATAAACTTAGAGCTGTGTGAACAACAAGGAATCTATTCCTTAATTTTAGTGAGAATTCCCTAATCTAGATCTGGCTTACAACTGTGTGAACATCCAAAAAAAAGTCCACCCACTAATTTCATAAAAATTTCCTCAGACAGTTAATTAGGCTTACAACTGAGTGAACACTAAAATAAAAGTCACCCACTAATTTTAGAAAAATTTCCTGAGACAGTTAATTAGGCTTACAATTGTGGGAACATTTTAAAATCTATTCATTAATTTTAATGACTTTTCTCAGTCTGGCTTACTCTTATATGAACCATAGTTATACTTTTTCAGATATAATGAATTCTGAAGTAACTAATCATTTAATCTGTTTTCTGACCTTTTGTCTTTACAAATGAATCAGCTATAAAAAATATTAAAAATCTGATCATTAGTGAAATAACACGTATTTCATCAAATATTTCTGGTAAGTGATGCATTGTTTTCCTTATTGTAAATCTTATTTAACCGTCTCAAGACAACAGGTCATCTATATTATATAACTGTTGTCTAGTTTCAATAATTATTACATCAGCGACCGGGTGTTCCATTGGCTCGTGGGTAGACAGCTTCGTCGCTGTGGAAAACACTATTTGGGTCTGTCCCATTTGATCGCGTCAACACTGTCCGGTGTCCTTTTCAGGTCTCTTGCTGGCATTTTATATGGCGCACATAACCTAGTCACAATTATAACCTAAAGCTCCCCCTTTGGGGATGCTGGTTGAACGTGAAAATGTTTTATTTGTGTGCCCAGCAAAGTTCCCTTCTACCTACCTAAGAAAATTAAAGTCAAATATTCAAAATCATGCTCGATAAATAAAATAAAAGCAAAGCAACAAATATACAGTAATATTTATAATTAGCAAATAAAAAATTGTATCATTTGGTCAAGCAGTAATATTTATATACTTCATAAAAGTTAAAAAAGTCAAGAGAACTGACTTCACTTGCACCGGGTTTGATCCTATTTGGCTACACCTCTCTCAGCAGGACAGCCAAGAGTGCAGCACAAAGTGTTAACATCGTAGCTCCAGCGATGAACCGCAGGGGTTTCCGCAAACATTTGCGTTCATGAACCGAACAAGCAGTCACGAAACAAAGCTGCAATCTTTAGCGTGCAAGGCGAACGGCTTTACCACTTCACCACGGAGACACTATATGTATAAATACTCTTAAATAAATATAGGTGCATCGTTTAGTATAGTACTATTGCTACCTCAACACTTTATGGCAGAACAAGGGCTTAAGGAGGAAATCTGCCTCCGCAGAGAATGAAATGTTAATGAGACTAAAGTAACTGTACAAACTATGGTATAAGAGGCAGGACTAAACAAGACTGTAAAGTACCTCAACACCCCTGTGTAGTAGAGGAAATACTAAACAAAGCTATCGCTGTAAGGTACCTCAACACCCCTGTGTAGTAGAGGAAATACTAAACAAAACTATGTCTGTAAGGTACCTTAACACACCTGTGAAGTAGGGAAAATAATAAACAAAACTGTAATACTAAACAAAACTATTGCTGTAAGGTACCTACCTCAACACACCTGTGAAGTAGGAAAAATACTAAACAAAACTATTGCTGTAAGGTACCTCAACACACCTGTGAAGTAGGGAGAAAAATAAACAAAACTAATACTAAACAAAGCTATTGCTGTAAGGTACCTCAACACCTAACTCAACACTCCTAAGTAGTAAAGCGAATGCTAAACAAAACTATACATCCTTGTGTAGTCAACGGAAAAACAAAACATAACCAAAGCTATTCATAGACCAGGAATATTGAGCTGAGTTTATTTAGGGGCCAAAATGTTGAAAATGGAAATCGTCATGGGCCAAAGACTCGAGACCCAGCGGAGAAAGATCATAAACACAGTACAACCAAGAATGATCCGCGGGCCACCTGCTAGGCCTTTGCGGGCTGGATCTGACTAGCAGGCCACCAGTTAAATAGCCTTGGCCTAGGCTAACTGACCAAAGAACACATAAAATACCTCTCTCCACTCCAGGGTTGAAAAAAGGTCTAAGAATGAATACAGATGCACATTTCATTTCAACAATTTGAAAGCTGAAAAATTCATATACTGAAACCGTCATGATATTGTTCATTTACATGTAAAGCGTCACGGTCGAAAGAACTACTTGCTGGTATCACTGCTGTCTGTCACGGACACGGTGGAGAAGTGGATGTTGTGTTTCTCCAGGCGATCAATGATACTGGTGTTCCACAGTGCTGCCCCAGCAGTTACAACACCTCCCCTGTGTGAGACACATGTATGACGGTGAAAAACATACTGGGATAAATTAATGACTACATGACCAGCTACAGTAAGCTGCTTTTCTTCTTAGTGTCTACTAGCTGTGAGATCCTACAGAAAGCTCTGGTTGTTCGTCCACTTCTGGACTTTGGTCTTGTTCCAGAACTTGAGTTTTGTGTACACATCTGTTTTACAGATCTGGCTAATGTGTATGCAGACTGTTGGTTCCTCACCTTTTAGGCACATGTACTCCGACTCTGAAGGAAAAACCATTATTAGTCGCCTCCTACAACAAGCTAGTGGGTGTATATCTTCCCTCTCCCAAAATGGGGCCCCGGAATCCATACCAGCGCCACAATAATACATACTATCAGAAAACATACTGGGAATGGATAGTCTCGGAGAACCACGGTGAAGGATTAATCAATCAATCAACAAATGACATCACTGCACTCGGGGCATTCCCACCCATGCCTGTCCCTTTTCCGACAGTCAATGAATAGCTCGCCCTGTGGATACTGCCAGTTACAACCTCATTAAAAATCTGCCTCTCTTCTCCCCTTTGTCCCGAAAGCTCTCTATATCCAGATCACTGGTGAATCAGTTTCTCGAGGTTCATTAGAAGAACAAAAGTGTGCATATGGTTAGTTAGTTGCGTATCCTTTACAGAACGTTGCAGAACCAACCTCAGTAGCCCCCGGCTGTTGTGTGGTTTCTCTAGGCAAATTTATGTCAAGTAGTTTGCCATTCCTTTCCGGACGGTCAGCTTCTTGATACCACTGTCGAAACCAATGCAAGGCGCATGGCCCGCAGCTGGGATCGAACCCGGCACTATGAAGCATTCGCATCGACTTAGCCACAGAGCGTGTGCATATGAGATGTTAATCATTCTTAAGACAGAATAATGATATCCCAGAAAATTTCCAAAGACAGATTTCACAATATGATTATCATAATTATTTTAAAAAAGTACACCCAGAAATATATTGAAGTTAGTCTATCATTATCATACATCAGCAGGTCCTCTGCAGAACGTCGTTCTCTTCACAGCACACCTCAGTCTGTTTTTTCTAGCCAATTCTCCAGCCCTATGTGCTTTCATAGCCAATGCGCATTTAAGGTATTGGATCCACCTTCGCGGACGACAGCCTCTGCTTTGTTTCTCCAGAAACCACACCCTCCATCATCGATCTCTCCATGCCACCACCATGAGGTTTTACACTGGCCAAAATCCCCCAGCTTCCAGAACTGGATGCTGTTTGTGAGCCAATTCTCCTACAATCTATACTCCTACAATATGTTCTGATTACTATATTAATCTGGGCAATATTAAATAATCCAAAGTAATTGACAAGCATAATTATCCAGCATTGAAATATTAAAAAGAAAAAAAAAAAAAAACTATACATCCTAGATGCTTTGAACAGGACATCTCTTATTTAAAATACTACTATTATTTAGGATCCTGTTCGCTGGTGCTACAGAACCTGAGCTTCTTCTGACTCAGACTTGAGTTAGAAGAAGAAGGGAGCACTTATGGGTTACTATCCATGTGCCATGATGTTGATTCGTTGTGCAAACCTGGGATCCTGTTGAGGAAATGCACTGACAACTATCTACTGTCCAGGAGTCCAGGAGTTCTCCTCTGGGTTTCAAGGTCTTCTTCTTCTTCTTCCCTTCCTATTTTACCACTTTGTGCGTGGAAGCAGACAAAAGGTTCTACTTCTGGCCACCTCGACCAGAGGCGTATCATGCTGTTGTAGGCTTCTCTCTTGTCCAGCAAGCTGGGAGAATAACCCAACCCATAATATCAAGACTTTCACGTAACATTATACTGACTTAGTAACATTAGATAACATTGTGGTACTAGAGAGTGCAAACAAGAGGACTTTCTTTGAATGTCAAGAAAACAGAAACAATGGCTATATCAAAGAAGAAAACTCCAACATGTGACACAGCAATAGAAGGGAAAGTGCTTAACCAAGTCAATACATTCAAGCATTTGGGGACATCAGATGGACGATGTCTGACAGAAATTAAGAGCAGGATTGACCAGGCAAAGGCAGCTTTTTAGAAGATGAAAAGTATCTTTTTGTAATAAGTTACTGTTATTAAACATCAGAAAATAAGTACTGAAATGTTATATCAAGCCTGTTCTGTTGTACAGCAGTGGAATCTTGAAATGTGAGCAAACAAATTAAGAAGAATTTGGAGGCAACTGAGAAGAATGGTTCTTGAGAAGAATGTTGCAAATACCTTGGACTGCCAGAATAACTAACAATGATTGCCTGGAAATGGCTAATGAAAGCAGAATATTAAATACAAAAATAAAAAGGAGACAAAGTTCTTTAGTCATGTGATGAGAAAAGGAGCACTGAAATATTGTGACGACTGGAAAGACCACTGGTGGAAGAAGCAAAGGCAGACCAAGAGAAATGATGATGGATGGCTTAAGACAGTGGCAGAGAGGATTATTGTCAGTGGAATTGATCCAGAACAATAAATACAGAGATCTGCAGAGATGCATGAACGCCTATGCCAGCTGGCAAGGCACTTGATGATGATGAGTAACATCCAGGTGTGTCAGTAAGATGATTGATACCTAAATTAGCTTCAGAGACCTCAGTAGAAATCAAACTGCCTCAGCAGCAGATGCTGAATTAAAGAAGTACTTACTTGTGAGGGATCTTATCTTGTTCCTTGAGAAGAGTAACTCCAACCTGTGTCATGCAGATAGGGGTAGTAACATACCCTGGTTCTGAAACAACCAATTTTTCTCATGAAAACATTTCAGTTCAGTGGCCATTAATAACTATGAGGGAGCTTCAAACTTTAAAAATGTGACAGAAATGTCAAAATTGGGGTGGCCATCTTTAAATTGTTAATATGACAACACTGTGTTTGCCTGCACCATGATGTCATATGCTTAATACTCTTGACATCCTTTACAACAAAACTTACAAGACAAGACAATGGTTTGGGTACATGTAATTTCTATCACACTTTTAATGTTGCTCTGGGTCAGGTCTTGGTCAGATATGACTGAGCTACGGTATAACAGTAGCCGGTACCACCTGTTTTCTGTTACGCCGAATGTTGGGCGACGTATACTAACCCAACATCCCATATTGTGCCAATGGCTTCGGGCGGAGGAGCGCATGGGGGAGGTTACAAGCCTTATCCTAGGAAGAGGAAATGCAACCTGAAAACTTGATGTTATGGCAGGGCAGACCAGGGCCTTCACCTTGGCTGGCAGCTGGTCTAGGAGGGAAGCTCTGACAGGCGGACAGATAGAGAACTGCTCTTCTGATCCGGCAGCTTCTGCAACCTGCCTCGTTCCAAACATACTGGTTTTACCTTTCCTTTGGAGTAAACAAGGCAGGTCGAGGGAGGGATTATTATGCATGGGCAACATAAGGTCTCTACAATACTGCCCAGGCTTTGTGCTATGGGGAGGAGGAACTTCGCTAGTCAAACTCGCCATCGCCATGGGCTGTGAGTCTCATGCCTCCTCATAGCGCAATATAACACTATCATCTGAAAAGACGGAAAGGTGCCAATAATTTAATGTTGCTATTTGAAGCTCCCCTCATTTTAAAGCACTTCAGTAAAATAGTTTTATGACACGATCTGCTGCTTTGTGGCCACCACTTACTGAAAACGGGCGCTGGAGTCACGATAGTAGTAAAATACAGCCAATGGCCAGATTTTCTACTGAAACCTTAAGCATGTGCTGTATGCACTCATAAGGTGTCTATTAATTTACTGGTCTAGTCTGAGAAGGTTAGACAAGTGAAACACTACCCACAGAAAATCATCAAGGTCATTATTCTACAAGCACTGTTTACAGTTTGGATCAGACTAATTTTCCGGTGTCCACACCTCCCCGACACGCCCACCTCCCTACAGAAAATAAAACACTTTAATTTTTTAGGAACTTTTAAAACTGAGAAGGGGAACCGAATACCTTATGCCATACAGAAGGGCTATTTGACTAAGTTTACTCTGAGGCCAACATGTTAAAAACAGGTTAGTCACAGGCCACAGACCTGGTGTAGAAAGACCATTAATACATAATAAACTGAGTGAAATCAGAGGGTCTGGCCGGCTCACTACACTCAGAGGAAAGGTAAAACGGACATATAACCAGATTGTGACCGGTACCATCAGTATTGGAACTCTGCGCTGGCTGCTGAAGATGAGAATGGAGCATGCATGGGAATGCCCTGAGTGCTGTGATGTCAATTCTGGACTCAACTCAACTAATATACTGCATCTGGCAATGATCCGTGAGCCACATGCTAGGCCTCTGAGGGTTGGATTTGGCCCACGGCCACCGTCTGAACAGCCCTGCCGATCAGCTTAAACCTGGAATATGCTGCACACAAAAACAACTTGCTATGTGATTCCTTCTACCTTTTTGTGGGTGTGTCTGCTGTTGGTTTGGTTCAAAAATCACTTCCACTGCACACAGATAACTCCATATGGGCCTCAGTCTCCTCCTACAGATCACCAAAGACAATCTAGGCAAGAAATCGCTACGCTGACTCGGAATACAACTTCAACTGAAGGCGACTTAAAGACTTTGCACTTGCAACGACAGAGCGAGACTGGCCAGACTGTCAGACAGAGAACAGAAGTCTGGCCCCGCTGAGGAATTCTCTAGGACCAGCAAAGACCTCAAGCATGACTCATACTAGAATAGAAACATTGCAAACAATCACTAAAGAAGTCTCCATGTGGGCTCCAGTTTAGATAATAAAGATACCCTCTGCTTCCCTATCAAGAATGTTGTAGCAGGCCACTAATTAAGGTTGTTTCCTTCAAAGGCCACTAATTAGGGGTGTTTCCTTCAAAGGCCACTAATTAGGGTTGTTTCCTTCGAAGTCGGTGTTCGTCTGCCGGAACCAACAGTCTGCATACAAATAAGCCAGATCTGTAAAACAGATATTAATGCAAAACTCAACTTCTGAAACAAGTTCAAAGTCCAGAAGTTGATGAACATCCAGAACTTTCCACAGAAGTTTACACTTGGTGATCGCTAACAAGACTAAAGAAGAAAGGCTTTCAGTCAGGAACAGCCAAAAAAAGATAAGGCAGCTGATAAATAAAGTGGAAACTTACCTGGCCCTGTCACCTTGGTAATGACAGTCTTATTAGGTTTCGTACCTGACCTCTCACTCTCTGGTTTGTCGTAGCCGTAGCCAACAAATGTCATGCTAAAACTGCAGCCCTCAATCTGCATATCAAGTGAAACAGAAAAATTATATTTAAATAAACTTCACATGAAAACCACACAAAAATGCAGAGGTACTAGAAGAAGTAACAAAGCTGTTGTTTAACAGTTCAAATGAAGATTGAAGAACAGATCCACATCATGGCACACGGGTAGTAACCCATAAGTGCTCCGTTCTACTTCTAACTCAAGTTGTCTGATGAAGCTCAGTGTACAGGCTCTGTAGTATCGGCAAGGATCCTGAAATACTTTGGGTAGGCTACTCTTTTCGATTTCCAAATACCAAGGGATTTTTTTTTTCAACGTGCAACGCACACGGGCCTCCAATCTCACCATTCAGAGACCGGGGAGAATTACTAGAAATCCAAAATACACGTGAAAAAATCCCAGCCCGACTGAACCCGGAACCTCTAGCACTCGAGGCAGACACCATGCCTCGAGACCACACAGCCCCCAGTTAAAATGAAAAATATGTAGGAGGGAAAAAAAAACATGCACGCAAAGCACTCCCCCCACTCCCCTTCTCTCTCGTAATGTCCCATTATAGCTGACAATGAACAAATAACGACATGAAGAGTATGCTTGACATGCGTCTGTATGAAGAAAAGGTCACAGAAACACAAGCAAAGATGTACAGAAAGAAACTGGAAATTCCAAAACAGCAGATAGCTCAAATATACAAATAGACAGAACTTATCATGATAATGTCCATACAATGAGAGTTCCTTTCCTTCCCATTCATGCTGCAGTACCATTCACAGGGCCTGTCCTATGTTATGGGGGTGTTATGATATGGCATTTTTTTAGGCATTCACTCGGCATAGATAATGTTTGTGGAAGGTTGTGTTGCCGTGAGTCTCTTTGAGGCACCTTTGTACAAGTAAGAAGTACTGAAGGGGGGAAACGCTGCAGACACCACAGTTGGTGAGTATCAAAACTGGGATTTTTTTTAATTTCCATGTTCCTTGGCGGTGGCTTACCTATCAGAAAAAAGTTACCACCAAGGAAAGTAGAAACACAGAAACATCCTAGTTTTACGAACCGTTGCGCAAATAGCACAACATGCCAATAATCTTGTAAGTGAGCGGTGACACAAAAATCTCGCAAGTAAGCGGTGACAACAGAAGAAAAGAAAATGGCTGAACCGTTGAAAACAAGAGATATGTGACACACACAAAAAACACCCCCCCCCCCAATATATAACAAGTTGTGTGACCAGCTGTGGCATGAATAGGAGGGAAGTAACTTTTGCGTTGCAGATAATATCATGATAAAAAAACCAAATAGACATTAAAAAATTCACAGATATAGCTTGTGAAATATTTTACTTTAGGGAACAATTACAGGCATACTGCAGAGAGGCCAAATTTAGTGACAAAGTTATCTGTTTACGCAGAGGTTATCCTGACAGTGACCATGTTATCTGTTTACATTCAGGTTACACATACAGAGACAATGTTATCTGTTTACATTCAGGTCACACATATCGTGACAAGGTTATCCATTTATATTCAGATTACACACACAGTGACAATGTTATCTGTTTACATTCAGGTCACACATACCGTGAAAATACTATCTGTTTACATTTAGGTTACACACACAGGACCATGTGATCTGTTTACCTTTAAGTCACACATTGAGTGACAAGATTATTTGTTTAGATTCAGGTTATACGTACAATAACAAGGTTATCTGTTTACATTCAGGTTACACACACAGTGACATAGTTATCTGTTTACTTTCAGGTCACAATACAGTGACAAGGTTATCTGTTTAGATTCAGGTTATACATACAGTAACAAGGTTATCTGTTTACTTTCAGGTCACACATACAGTGACAAGGATATCTGTTTAACTTTAAGTCACACATAAAGTGACAACTTTTTATATTCAGGTTATACATACAGTGACGTTTTCTGTTGACGTCCAGGTTACACATACAGTGACAAGGTTATCTGTTTACATTTAGGTTATCCTGTCAGTGATAATATCATCTGTTTACATTTAGGTTATCCTGTCAGTGATAATGTTATCTGTTTACATCCCGGTAATAATTAGTTTACACATGAGTTATCCTTACAGTCACAATGTTACCTGCTTTTTTGTTGGTCCACCTTTCTTGAAAAGTCCCAGTGAGAAAACATGCGGGTACTGTCGGGAAGACGAATAGTCATGTTTTAAATACTTGACATTCCACATTTTACATAAGTCCAAACACTTAATTTTTGTTAACTTATTCATAGTCCTGGTGTTCTATTTAATATCACATAGGGCTCCCGGTCTAAATCCCAATTCTGTTCTATCCTGTGTTTGTGTATTCTAGACAAAGCATTAAGGTCTACTGTGTTCTTAAATTGTTGCTGTGCTTGTTATTCGACATATGCTTCGTTAATACAAATTTCGGTAACCTAAGGTGCCATTTCAATGGTTTGAGATGAATTCTGTCCGTAGTCTGAAGTTGTGGATTTCAAGCTGTACGATAGACATGGCGAAAAAGACACCTTTCTTTGGGGTGCCTAGTTGACCATGTTCTTAATGCACATGTTTCTATAGAGAAGTGCACACGCCGTCTGAAGGTGACAGGTTCAATTCCAGGCATAGCAACTAGCTTTAGACATTTATGCTGTCTATTGTGTTCTTCTATCTTTTTAAATTCTATCTATAGTGCGATCAAACTTTCAGTTTCTTTATTAATATATGTTCATCCCGCGCAAGCCTTTTACATCATGGGGAATCCCGCCTGGCGTCTTTTAAATCCTTCGTCAATGTTTGTCAAGTTCAAAAAAAAAACCTTTCATTTTAGTCCACTTTATATCTTTAATTTATAAGTAAAACACCTGCTTTCCCCGATTTTTTATTTGTGGAAAAAACTTCAAATTTTGGTCTCGAACCGGGGGAAAGGGGGAGGCGTTAAGTGATTTAAAAAAAAAAGGGGGGGAAAGGGGGCGGAGCCACACAATACAAAATTTAGTGCATTTTTACTTCTTTAATCTGTTATAAATTTTGTTTTTCTTTTTTGACGTCTTTTTCATTCCCCAAAAGCATTGGTTATGCCGTCATCCATCATACCCACAAAAGTATAAGCCTGCCGTCAACTCTCTGACCAAAAAGACATTTNGTTTTACATTCAGGCACAAACCCGTGACAACTACTTTTACTTTTGGTTCACACACAGGCCCATGTGATCTGTTTACCTTTAAGCACACTTTGAGTGCAAGATTTCTTTTTAGATTTGGGTTATCTACAAAAACCAAGGTTATCTGTTTTACATTCCCGGTTACACACACATTGACATGTATCTGTTTACTTTTTCAGGGTCACATACAGTGACAAGGTTATCTGTTTATGATCAGGTTATTCATACAATAACAAGTTATCTGTTTACTTTTCGATGTCACATCATACAGTTGCACAGAGGATATTTCTGTTTACCTTTATATTCACACATACAGTGAGAATCTTTTATATTCAGGTTATACATACAGTGACGTTTTCTGTTGACGTCCAGGTTACACATACAGTGAGTGACAAGGTTATCTGTTTACGATTTAGGGTATCCTGTTCAGTGATAATATTATCTGTTAACATTTAGGTATCCTGTCAGTGATAATGTTATCTGTTTTACATCCAGGTAATAATTAGTTTACACATGAGTTATCCTTACAGTCACAATGTTACCTGCTTTTTTGTTGGTCCACCTTTCTTGAAAAAGTCCCAGTGAGAAAACATGCGGTAACTGTCGGGGTAAGAAGCGAAAAGTCATATTTTAAATACTTGACATTCCACATTTACATAAGCTGTGCTTGTTATTCGACATATGCTTCGTTAATACAAATTTCAAAAACCTAAGGGTGGGGGCTGCCTTCGGTCGCAGAGCAGTCCCGGTTCCAGCGCTCGCTGTCCCTTTTGGCTGCGCGTGGTGCATCCCGTTAGCGGGCACCTCCCAGCCGGCTTCGGATGTAGAGGGGGACAAGGTGCCGATATTCTGTGTGTGTGCCGCAGTTCGCTGCCACGGTCGCGGTGTGAGCGAACGAAAGTGTCCGTTACGGTGGTTCCGACGAAGGTCTCGCTAAAGGCCCGTTCTCTCTCGACGAGTTGCGGGCCAGCATTCGGTAAGCTGGCATAGCTTTTTTTCGGTCAGTCCTGCCGGCGCGGCTCGTCGGCAGGCGTCCAAGTGGTGTCGCATGCATCACCGGGTTTTGCGGGGAGAACGATGTTCTCCCCGGCCCGCGTGTGCTCGTGAAAACGTCCAATTCTGTCCGACAGATATCTGGTTGATCCTGCCAGTAGTCATATGCTTGTCTCAAAGATTAAGCCATGCATGTCTTAAGTTCACACTGTTCCACGGTGAAACCGCGAATGGCTCATTAAATCAGTCGAGGTTCCTTAGATGACACGATCCTACTTGGATAACTGTGGCAATTCTAGAGCTAATACATGCTTACCAAGCTCCGACCCTCGCGGAAAGAGCGCTTTTATTAGTTCAAAACACAGCACGTCCTCGTCGTGCGCCACGGATAATGTCTCAAATGAGCATTAACAGTGCTGTCAGGGGATCTCGGAGTTCGGCGGCCCCCACAGGTGATGTGTCCTTGTGGCTCTCATCAGCCCGCCCCCAAACGCTTGGGTGAAAAATGTTATCAAAACTCATTAGGAACATGAGTAGGTTTGCCAAACGTACAGCCAAAATTACAACCCTTGGTTAAAAGACTGCGGAGTAAAGAGAACATTGTTCACTGCACATCCTCTGTTAACCCTCAGTGTTGTCGTCACCGCGCTGAGGTACACCACAACAGCAACCATCCATAGGCTGGCCATCCTTGTACATCCTCGGTTAACCCCAAGTGTCGTCATCACCGCGCTGAGGTACACCACAACAGCAACCATCCATAGGCTGGCCACTCATGTACATCCTCGGTTAACCCTCAGTGTCGTCGACACCGCGCTGAGGTACACCACAACAGCAACCATCCTAATTGTCCGACAAAACTAGATCATACGGATCAAAATCTGACCATCAAAATTTGTATTGAACTGAAAAAGACCGAATGTCCACACCCAAAGACCCCACTCGCCCGAGTGTTGGGACAAAACTGATAACGATATGCCTGATGCAGGATGTAAAATTCTGTCGGGCTAACAGCTCGTCAAAGAAATCTAACGTGCGAAGAAAAAAAAAGAATGTACCTATCGGTGTGGTCACAAAAGTCCAAAACCCACAGGCTGCTCCCCGCTGACTTCCAGAGGGCGCAGCCCCTGTCGAGCGGGAGGCCTGATACGGTTGTGAGGTTAAGCAGGCATGTGCAGGACGTGACGATTCCTTGGGTGAGCCCAGAACCAGAGCGCCATGTGCCGGCTCTGCATGCATGGAAGCCTCCTTGGATGGCGGGGAATGCCCATGATCTGCCCCTGCCTTCCCTTGAGGGCTAACTGTTCCACAGGGTGCTGCCCCAAAGGGGTACTCCGAGGGCAATACCTGCGGAGGAGACAAAGTGGACACCACACAAATCAGGCAACGTCTCGACCCACACAAAACAATGGCCACAGTCAACCTAGAAATAGGCCTGACGTCTTCCTTCGAAGTCGGAGTACAGCTGCCCATGAGGCAGGGAAATGAAAAACGGTTGTACACGCAAAAATCAGGTCCAGGTGAAAGCCAAAAGTCCAAGCGGACGATTAACCGGGACCTTCCACTGGAATTCACAGCCGGTGATCGATTGAAAAAAAAAAAAAATAACCTAAGGTGCCATTTCAATGGTTTGAGATTAATTCTGTCCGTAGTCTGAAGTTGTGGATTTCAAGCTGTACGATAGACATGGCGAAAAAGACACCTTTCTTTGGGGTGCCTAGTTGACCATGTTCTTAATGCACTTGTTTCTATAGCGAAGTGCACACGCCGTCTGAAGGTGACAGGTTCAATTCCCGGCATAGTAACTAGCTTTAGACTTTTATGCTCTCTATTGTGTTCTTTTATCTTTCTACTTCTTTCTATGAGTGCCGATCAATACAATTTCTGTTTCTTTATTAATATATGTTCTATCCTGCGCAAGCACTTTGACATCATGGATGGAATCCCGCCTGGCGTCTTTAACTCCTCTCGTCAATGTTTGTCAAGTTCAAATAAAAAACCTTTCATTTCAGTCCACTTTATATCTTCAATTTATACCAGTAAAAACACTTGCTTCCCTGATTTTATATTAGTGGAAACACTTTCAACTTATGGTCTCGAACCTGGGAAAGGGGGGGGAGGCGTTAAGTGATTTTTAAAAAAAAAAGGGGTATGGGGGTCGGAGCCAAACAATACTAAAATTGAGTGCATTTGTACTTCTTATAATCTGTTATAAGATTTATGTTATCTGTTGTTGACGTCTTCTTCGGTTCCCAGACAGCAGTTGGTTATGACCGATCTATCCATCATACCCACATAAAGTATTAAGCCTGCCAGTCAACTCATCTGACCAAAATGACATATTTCTAGACCAGGTGGTCACAATATTACCTTCAGTAACAGTGATCTTCCCAAGGAAAAGCTGGCGAAGAGTCCAAAAATGGCCAAGAAGATAACCAGTCCCACCACTTGTAGCAGGCTGTCAACACAGAAGTAAGGACTGAACTCAATCTGTGGAGAGAGGAAGCAAATTAGAACATTGTATTTTGTACTGGTTCTTCTTTGCGTTCATCGGCTGTAAACTTTGAAAGTTCTGGTTGTTCATCCACTTCTGGATTTTGGTATAGTTACAGAACTTGAGTTCTGTGCGCACATCCAATGGTGAACAAAACAGAAGAACAAGACCTTAACATCTTCTAGGCCATGAAAGAAAGAGAGAATTGCCTGAAAATTCAGAAACTCCTTCAGGACCCATTGGAGGCTGGGCATCTTCAACATCTACCTTGTCATGCATCAGTCCACCACCAACTGGTGCAGAACCAGCCAGTCTATCTGCCTGTTCATCTCCTAACACACCAGCAGAAATATCCAAAGGACACCAACTACCTAGGACCTCTGACGGGATACTTGCCTCTTTCACGAAGCATGTCTTTCCCAACATGCTCTGGAGTCGGTTACAATTATGACATGTGTGTACAGCTGATTTTCAAGCCTGCAGCGTTGTGTTTAACATAACAACCCAGCTGGAGAGTGTACTATTAATGTCTTTAACGCATTTCATATCCATGTCAAATGTTAATCACACATCAGATCAACAGGTACCTATGGTCTAAGGTCAACACATCACAGCCTTTGGTCAAGCATGTTCTAGGTCAAGGGTCAGCATATTGAGGCCAAGGGTCAAACATATTCTAGGTCAAGGGTCAGCATATCAGTGCCATGGGTCAAAAATATTCTAGGTCAAGGGTCAGCATACCAAGACCATGGGCCAAACATATTCTAGGTCAAGGGTCAGCATATCAAGGCCATGGGTCAAACATACTCTAGGTGAAGGGTAGCCTATCAAGGCCAAGGGTCAGCATATCAAGGCCATGAGGCAAACTTTTTCTAGGTTATGGGTCAGCATATCAAGACCATGGGTCAAACATATAGACCAAGGGTCAAACATATTCTAGGCCAAGGGCCAGCATATCATAGCCATGGGCCACAAATATTCTAGGTCAAGGGTCAGCATATTAAAGCCATGCATCAAACATGTCCTGACCTGAACTCAGGCCCAGGTAAATTGCAAGGTCAATCAAAAACATTCCAGAATCATAGATTACTGAGAAACTCACCGGTTTTTTAATTCTACCAGTGGCCAGCAGATCACGGACTGTCCTGTGGACAACAGACTTGTCGCTGCCAGGGAACGGCACACACCACTTGTTCACTTCCTTGCTGTAGAAAATTGTCTTCCTGCAGAAACACAACCGCAGAAATGTGACAACCTCAACAAACTGTTTGACTGATTGATTGGTTTGTTCTCTCCAGGATGCTCTTTAAAGTTTTACCAAACCATCCCAAGATTGTAAAAGATCTTAATATGGACTGCAGACCAACGAGGCGGATCCCAGATACCCAGTTCAACCTTTAAAAAAAAAAAAAAAAAAAAATGCTATAATTAGGGCAGCTCAACGGCTACATCAGCCAGGTGTCACTTGGGAGTCCTCCTATGTGGGTAATTCCATTCCATCCTCCATCCATCCCTTCCTCCCCCCACCCCACCCCCATGCACACGTGCGCGCAAACTCTCTCTCTCTCTCTCGACCATGTTCAATCAACTGTTAACCAGATGAAGCTGTCAACAGTCTCCAGCTATATTTGTGGTCTGGTTTATTTGTGCCACATTTGTGGCAAAAATTCTGGTATTATCACCAGTTCACTAGCTTAGTCCTTCTTCTCTCCAAGTCAGACGGCTCGATCCTTTCCTGTGTCTGAGTGTGTTTCTCTTGCCTTTGTATTTCTGATGTTATACGGGTAGTAATTAAACTATACTATACATAAAACTGTCCCACTTACAAGCATGTCATAAAAGGCAACTAATTAAGGGTATGCTGAAATCTGATGTGTTGGGCTGAAAGGAGCAGATATCACAGCCTAGTTGCAAACCGCAATACAACATATCAACCGACCTTTTTAACTCTTTTAGTCCCAGGAGGTTTAACATGAGAAGATCAAGGGGAAGTACAGAAAGATGTAAAAATGGCACACTTTGCGTTCACTGGGCTTCTAGGTAGGAACTTATGAATGTGGACCCCACTGTGGAGAAAACAAGAATAGACCCACTGCCTCCCCAACAAGCATGTCCTAGGAGTCAACTAAATGGGGACTTCCTTCAAAGTCGGAGTGCATATGCTCGAGCAGCAAGGAACAACCAACTGCAATAAGCCAGTTAAATGGATGTACATGCAAAACTCAGGCCCTTGCACAAAAGCCAAAGTCCAAATGGACGAACCACCAGGACTTTTTTGCTGGGGCTTAAGTCGGTAAACAAAGAAAAAGAAGAAGATAAATGTGTGATGCATTCCTTGGGACTGAAAGAGTTAAGGTCAAACACAAGAGAAAAAGAAGATGAAGGATGGGTTAATCTGGCAGCCAAGGTCAATTTTAACAACCTATCTCAGAGATTTAAACCAAAGACTGCTGGGAAGACAAGCAACTACACCAGAAACTGCAACTGTGCATCTAGTCTGTTTCTAGGCACCAGTCATCTTCTGTGTTGGCCCTACAGCTAAGCTTCAATATCCAGGCCTTTCAACCCAACACATTTGATTTCCATAAAGTCATGATTAGTCCCTTTTTACGACATCCCTGTTGGGTGGCAGGAGGGGGCGGCAATGGGTCTATTCTTGTTTCCTCCACAAAATGGGTCCCAGAACCCACACAGAGAAGTGAACCATTCAACTGTTACTGTCGCAAGCAATCCACAATATGCAGTGTTATGTTCTTTATGTGTAGCATCAAGTCACTGTTCTAGCACAGCTCCCATTTGTAATTACATCTTCTCCTCAAATTAAAACATATGCGACTCAGTAACCATCCCACCTGCACACACATGTGCACGGCACATACAAAGTAAATAAAAAGATAAACAAAGAAAGATTTGTAGGGTCAAAAATTTCACCAAATATTAAAATTACAACTGTTATTTTTCTTCTTCCTTTCTATCCCCCAATGGAGTACAGGCCCTCAACCAACTCACGCCAAGTCATTCTATCCTTCACTATTGCATGGAGCTCTCCCCATGTCCTCCCGATCTATCTAACTTCATTCTCAAGCTCTCTTCTCTATGTGTTTTTTTTTTTGCCTTCCTTTACTCCTATGCTCCCGTGGGTTCCAATGCAAAGACATTCTAGTTATGCCGTTCTCCGGTTTTCTCAATGTGTGTCCTATCCAACGTCAGCGTCTTTTCCTCACCTCTTGGTCCACTGGAGCTTGCTTAGTTCTCACCCAAAGCTCTACATTAGTTATTCTATCATACCATTTAATTCCCTCTTTTCTGCGCATGCACCAGTTAATGAATGTTTGTAGCTTATTAGTAATTGCCTTAGCTGTTCTCCATGTTTCCGCCCCACACAAAAGTACTGATTTGACATCAGAATTAAAAATTTTCAGTTTAGTATTTCTTTTAATTTCTTCTGACCTCCACCAATTCCCTAGTGCTATGAAAGCTCCTTTTGCCTTTTGTATTCTTATTTCAATATATTTATCAGTTCCCCCATCTTTATCTATTATGATTACCTATTAAATGATGTTTAAATGAAAGAAGGTTTAATTGGAGTGAGGAAAAAAGGGAAGAATGTAAGATGGACCTGTCTGCCCCAATTCCTAACCCTCCGGAAAAAAAGTTTGTTCATTCGTTTGTTCATCAAAGTGGCAAGTGGTATGATGTGAGCATGTTTTGTATGCTCTTTCTAATGCCTTGCATAAGATTATTTTGATTTCTTTGAGGCTCTCTTCATATTATTGTTCAATCTTTTACATGTTTTTTATTTCTAAAAAAAAAGTTCTGCAGTGTGGCTAACAGTGAGAAACTGACTAACCGTTTAGGGAGCCGGTACTCATATTTGGGCAGGGGGTCAGGAAACAATGACTTTCTCAGAGGCTTCAGCTCTTTCATGTGTGCGAACCCATGCACCGCAGACTCAAAGGTGCCAGTGTTGACTGTGAAACCCTAGATATGTCAGACCAAACAGGAGATATAGTCATAAATACAACATACATATTTATAAATACAGCAGATACACTTATAAATACAAGGAATATAATCAAACATATAAAGTAAAGTACCCTTTTGGCCATCTTCAGGCATATTGGGCATAGAGGGTTAGATCCATATTTGATAGACCTACTGGCACTGGGTGGATGATGTGGTCAACATCATGCAGACCGCCTTTACTTCGCAGGACTATATCTGGTACCCACTCAAGGCTGGGTCGATCTGGTCCTGAACGTACGACATTTTGTTCGGAAGGCAAGCGTCTAGCTTCTAGACCATCGTGGCTTATTTCAAACAGATATAATTATAAATACAATAAATATAATTATAAAATTAAAAATAACAGATAAACTTATCTGTTCCAATGAGCTAAGAGTTATGTAGTGTAGCTATTAGAATAGTTTCCATGTGTTGTACATGTCAAGGAATACGGAACAGCAAAGAAAAACATAGGCCTGCTTCCCTGTGGGTAGAATGGAGACAGTCAAAGGATGGGGAAGGGAGAAAACTTACAAAACAAATTTTGACGAGGATATTTTTTTTTATATATATATAGGCAAATGATAAGAATACCCATGGTTGGGTAAAAAGAATAACACGCGATATCAACGGCATTGCGGACCACCCCCCTATCCTTGTGCCAATGTGACAGGTTCAAGGATGGATTACCAATCAGAAGTGAGCTAGTGTGTATATGGGTGGGGTGTGGGGAGACCAAGTTACTTTTACCGATTAAAGGTACAGGAGACAGAAGGTTGTGGTTTGAAATGACTACCAACACCACAGGGCCCGGACTATAAGAAGAATGGCTGGAAGAAAAACAAACAAATGCACTGAGCCACATGACTAATAGTAGTGTGCTATGTTAACTCATTTCAGCAAGCTGCAATGGCACAGGAGTTAAACACTCGCCAGCCGGTTCAAAGGTCTTGTATTCAAACAGACAATGAGTGGGATTTTAGTTTCTCCAAAAATGACCTTGGCTCTAAGGTCGACTCAGTTGCAAATGGGTACCAGGTAAAGCTCTGAGCAGTAAAGGCGGCTGGCAATGTCTTAACCATATTACCCATTAAGTGTCGACTGGTCTACAAAATTATGATTCTAGCATTACCTACATGATAGGCGTTGGCATTAAAAGAGTCCTTGTACAACAGTTTTATTATTGTCCCTTTATTTTTAATGTAATTGTTTTTTTTTATGCCTATTTTATTTTATTTCACATTATTATTTTATGCTATCTCTTTATCATTACCAGTTATAAATCATTAACATTTGTTTTTCTATTACTTTTTTTTTATTCCTAAAGTTAGTTGCGTATCCTTTACAGGATGTTGCAGAACAAACCCCAGCAATTCTTGGCTATTGAGGTTTTCCTAGGCAAATCTATGCCCAGTAGTTTGCCATTGCTTTCTGGACGGTCAGCTTATCGATACCACTGTCGAAACCAACGCAAGGTGCAAGGCCTGCAGCTGGGATCGAACCCGGGACCCCGCCATTACAAAGCGCGTTTGCAACACCTAAGCCACAATACTATTATTATACATTATCACTATTTCTTTTATGACTATTTTTTATTTAACACATTTTTTAAGTTTCTCACCTGACCCCCCTAGTGGGTACTGGTGGTTGGAGTACTCTCCTCTTTGTTATTATCTGGTTGAAGAGTTAACTTACTTCATAAAGTAAAAGCACCTTTTTCACGAATTTGGGCGTGCTGGGCACACACAGCTATACCTAAGGTTTACAGACCAATCTGCACTCTGTGTGTGATATGATCAACATGTCATCTGCCTTTACTTCCCAGGACTGTACCTGGTACCATCCATTTAAGACTGTCAACTTGGGAGCCAAGGTCATTTAAGAAGAAAAAAACAACTGGTTCGGTTAGGATTTGAACCCACAACCTTCAGATCCATAGATGAGTGTCTGCGATACACCACGGAAACCCCCAACTTACTTCATGACGTAATGAAATCCCCCACGCTATTAACCATGTTTCTATCTGAGCTCTAAAGAAACTCAAAACAGAGAAGGGCAACATGTGAGAGACTCAGTGCTTACCTCAGGCCCACTGTTTGTTGTCACAAAGCTCTCAATGTTGGTCATCTCTCCTGCAACCAATGGAAGAAGACTTCATCAAAGTCTGCTCTGTTTTATGACAATATAACTTACCCTCCTAAACTGTTTAACTGACACTATGATTTCTCTGCTTCATTAACACTATAAGTCCCCTTCCTTACAAATGTTTCACCGTCACTATAACTTACGGTCTTAAACTGTTTCATTGACACTATAACTTACCCTCTTAAACTGTTTCATTGACACTACAACAAACCCTCTTACACTGTTTCACTGACACTATAACTTACCCTCTTACACTGTTTCATTAACACTATAACTTAGCCTCTTAAACTGTTTCATTAACACTATAACTTAATCTCTTAAACTGTTTCATTAACACTATAACTTAATCTCTTAAACTGTTTCACTGAGACTATAACTTATCCTCTTTAAGCATATTTATGTGACTCTTTAACTTACCTTTCATTAAAACTATAACTTGCCTTCTTGAAACTTTCATTGAAACTATAACATACCCTCTTTAAAGTGTTTCATTAACACAACAACTTACACTCACTGAACTGTTTCACTGACAATATAACTTGCCCTCTTTAAACTTTCATTGAAACCATAATAAACTCTCTTTAAACTGTTTCAATAACACAATAACTTACCCTTCTCAACCCTCTGGCCCAGCCACTATTCTGGCATTGTTGTCCATTAATCATCGCCGAGAACTACTAAACCGTGATTGCTGCACTGTTTAGTCCCTGACAGGCCCAATTAATGGCATTGGTTCTGTTTGGGCCTGTGCAGAATTTTAAAGGGCCTTAAGTCCCCATAGCTTTTAGTACCTGGGGTCATGGTATTAGTCACCATATAAATTATTTATTTTTAGGCCCAAGGGAACTGCAGTCAATACTATAACTTACCATCTTTAAACTGTTTCTGTGTGTACAGAATCCCAGTTTCTGCAGGAATGCTGTCGAAGCCAGTAGCACCAATCACAAGCACGTTGTTCTCCTTGGCTTTAGCATTATACAACAGCTGCATCTTCTCCAAGTACTGTTCAAAAGATTAATAATCATATATATATTTATTTCATCAGTGTGTGTGTGTGTTTGTGTGAGAGAGAGAGAGAGAGAGAGAGAGAGAGAGAGAGAGAGAGAGAGAGAGAGAGAGAGAGAGAGAGAGAGAGAGAGAGAGAGAGACAGACAGACAGACAGACAGACAGAGGGAGAACAAACACACACACCACCCACCCACTGATATATATGTGTGTGTGTGTGTGTGTGTGTGTGTGTGTGTGTGGTGGTTAGGTGTGGTGTGTGTGTGTGTATGTGTATATATATATATATATATATATATATATATATATATATATATATATATATATATATATATATATATATATATATATATATATATATATATATATATATAAAACAACCATTACATATGAAGATTAATCATCTTCACTCTTCCAGATTCAGTGAAGCAGGATTGTGTTATACGCATACGAGATGGCAATCTGTCCAGCCTTCGTGCAACGACTAAGGTGCAAACAAAATGCCTCTAGGACTTTCTGTCTGTGGATAATGATGCAGCCCTTACTGCAGTGCACTTTCATAAAATGATCTCAGATTCTAATGACTCGCTCCATAAGTCCTTGTCAAGAAGTTGACTCACAACCAGTCTCAACATAAGAAGTTGACTCACAACCAGTCTCAACATAAGAAGTTGACTCACAACCAGTCTCAACATACTACCAAACAGTGATTGTAACCATGAGGTGCTGGTTGTACATAAGTCTGAGTACCTAGAATCACCGAAGATCTAGGCTGATGAACAAAAGTGTGATCGAACAAAAGGACAACAGCCAGGACCAAGATTTAAAGTTTGTGTCTTGAGCACGCTCCTTTACGACAGTGAAACCTGGACTCTGCAGGCTTCTCAAGAAAAAAGACGGAATACCTTCTACATGCGCTGTATGAGACGCATTTTAAGTATATCATGACAAGACTTTTGTCTCCAAAGAATATGACTCAAAAAGGCAGGAACGCCAACAACGATCTTTCTACTAAAGCAAAGATGCATGTGTTGTATGAACTGTATGACTGGTCTCACTCCTAGTCTTCTTCTAATTTCTTTATTCCTGATTTTTATCTTTTTTCACACCGGCAGCTACTTTTCTCATACATAATTATACTAATAATAATAATATACAATTTTCAGAAATGCTGTCGCCTACCAGCCAGCCCCACTCATTAGACACGTCTCCGCTCCCTTCCAGCAAAACAGCAAATGATTAATAGCATCACCCTTACTTTATTTGATCAGTGCCAAACATGGACAATGAACAGAACAGTAGAGCAGAAAATAACTACCTGCGTAAGTCACTAACAACACACGAAGCGATAGGGTTACCAAAGCCAGCGCGGAGAGAAAGCTGGAATCAGACAGTGTCTAAATTATAGTCAGAATTAAAATAATGACAGACAAAGAATCAAAATGGTTCAGCCATTTAGTGAGAATGCAGCCAGACCAAACTGCATAAGAGATTTTTTTTTTTTTTTCCACAGCAGAATATCTGGGAAGAAGGCAACAGGAAGACCAAGAAAGAGATGGATAAATGGTGCAGCTGAAACCTTCAAAAAGATTTAGCAAATCCATAAAAGGCAAGACAAATACAGAAAATCATGACACTGGGCTTCAACAGTGAGACGAAAAAAGACATAAAGAAATTGTGGGATCAAATATATGCAAAACAAACAATACAGAGCTAATAAAACATGCCAAAAAGTACGTCACCTGTGGTTCTCCGCTGATATCCAGATGATGGGTGCCTGCCTCAATGCATGCCTTAACCACAGGTTCCCCATAAAATCGATACTGAAATGCAAGTGAGACATAACATGATGTGTATTCCGTAGGAATGTCAATTACAAGTCAACAATTAACTCTTTCGATAACAGAAGGCTTCTTCTGCCCATGAGGCAGGGAACACAAAACGGTTGTACACGCAAAACTCAGGTCCAGGTAAAAGCCAAAAATCCAAGCGGACGATTAACCGGGACCTTCCGCCAGAATTCACAGCCGGTGAACGAAGAAGAAGAAGGCTTCTTCTTCTTCTTCGTATTCACCAGCTGTAAACTCTAGCGGAAAGTTCTGGTTGTTCATCCATTTTCAGACCGCAGTCCTGTTCCAGAAACTGAGTGTTGCGTGTGCATCTGTTTTACAGATCTGACTCATTTGTATGCAGACTGCTGTTGCCTCTCAGGCAGATGCACTCCGACTTTGAAGGAAGCTACCATTTAGTCAACTCTTACGACATGCTTTTGGGTAGGCAGTGGTTCAATTCTTGTTTTCCCTATAAAAGGGCCCGGAACTCAATCGGGAACCAGAAGGCTTAAAATGAGATTTGTGAAGGAAGAAAAAAAAACATAAATAATTACATTCTAACAGGCAATACACACAGTGGTAGTGACCATTTGGGGAGGCAGATTTGTTAAGTAGGTTGTGACCAAATATTAAAAGCAAGAGTGTGCATTATGCTATGGAGGGAAAAGAAAAAGTAGAGTCAATCACAACCAGGCATGGCTGGAACTAAAAGAGTTGAAGACAATCCCTTGGCATATTTGAGGATCCCTTCCGCTCTTGGACAGCAAGGTGTACCAGGGACAGTTTGTGGTCAAGCCAAGTATTAAAGGTGCTCTAATTATAACTTCTTAGGAAGCAGAACAGGGTATTTAGAATCTGCTCTGTTGGACTGCCATCCAAGTGTGCAGATCTTTTGAGTCACAGATATGATGCAGAATAAATATGGAAGACGCTTGTCAGACTTTTGTCATACTGATACAAGCTGCCAAAGATCACAAAATGCGGGAAGCATGACTACCCAGGCCAGCTTAAAATCTAGTTGATGATTAAACATAAACTGCTGCACCTGATGATTAAGCTTATTAATTGAGAGCATATTCATGTGACCATGAATTGAAATGGGGGAGGGTGGGGGGGGGGGGGGGGGGGGGGGGGGAGTCTCAAGGTCACAAAAGATAAATATACAATGGTAACATTCTACACGATGTCTAGGTCAAAGTTCAACATGTAACCAAGGTTAAGGTAGGGAATTTCACCCAGGTCAAAGTGCAACAAGCAAACAGAACATCCTATTATCTAGACTAGGACTGTCAACATGTTTTGCCCAGGTCTTGTTTCTGAGCGTCATTTACCACTGTGTGCTGTTCTCAGTTGTTTGTCAGCTGCATAAAAAAACGTTTGTGTACCATCTGCAACTGATCATTGTGATAAAGGTGATACGTCACGTCCCCTGTGTATTACAGCTACACGTACTGGCTTATAACAGCCGACTGTACTGGAAAATAAATGCTGACTTTAACAGATTATAACAGCCAAACTCACTGGGCTATAACAGCCAAACTTTAAGGATTAAAACAGCTGAATTTACTGGATTATAACAGCTGACCCTACTGGATTATAAGTGCCTACCCTACTGGACTTTAAGAGCCAAATTTAAAGGATTAAAACAGTTGAACCTAATGGATTACAATAACAAACCAAACTTACTGGATTATAACTGCCACACTACTATACCTTTCAAACTTACTGGATTATAACTGCCACACTACTATACCTTTCAAACTTACTGGATTATAACTGCCAAACTACTATAACTGTCAAACTTACTGGATTGTAACTGCCAAACTACTAAAACTGTCAAACTTACTGGATTATAACTGCCAAACTACTATAACTGTCAAACTTACTGGATTATAACTGCCAAACTACTATAAATGTCAAACTACTATAACTGTCAAACTTACTGGATTATAACTGCCAAACTACTATAACTGTCAAATTTACTGGATCATAACTGCCAAACTATAATAACAAACCAAACTTACTCGATTATAACTGCTGAAGATACTGGACTGCAACCGCTGAAATCACTAGAATATAACAGCTGAACTTAATGGATAACTAAATGAATTATAAGCACCTGAACTTACTGGATTATAACAGTAGCAATCACTGGATTAACATAGCTGAAATTATTGGATTATAAAGAAAAACTGAAAGGATCATAGCTGACTGGATCAAAACACCTGAACTTATTGAACTGTCAAACAGAGTACAAGTGAATGGACAACTTCTTCTGTGTTTGCCATTAAAAGGACGGTTGCATGTGGTGTTCGTAGCTAACAGTTAGGCTGCAATTTTGGCACCCCTCGGCCCAAAAGATCCAGTTACAGCAAACCACTACGTAGTCATCATGCTTGTTTGTGTGGCACGGGACCCTTCCCCCCCCCCCCCCTCCACTTCCGAATGGGGCCCCATAAGTGGTTAGTGAGGACTATCATCACAGCACTACAGATAGATCCATAAGTGCTCCATCCAAAATGACTGATTATGTTGTTCTGTGTTGGCTAACTAGACACCATGTGCCCTTGGTGACATGTTCATGTCTAGCTGTTCCAGATTACACCCACACATCCACCATCCTGGACATGTCTAGCTGTTCCAGATTACACCCATACACCCACCATCCTGGACAAGGATACTGCATCCTGCTTGCTGTCATGATCTTCTTCACAATATGCAACTCATGCACTTTGCATGACATAAATGACAGCCTAGTGCTGAGCCAGTCGTGATAACTGCCTTGTCTGCCAGATAATCGACCCGCTCAATGCCTCAAACACACGCATAGCGTGGCACAAAGATACACACATGGAGTCTGGACTACAAACCTGATAGGAAAACTACAGTGCCTTTTACTAAAACTTCTATTCACAGTAACACTTACTGGGCCGACACAGTTGAGCACAACTCTGCCTTGTTTGGCCATCTCCTCGAGAGAAGATGGGTTGCTGCTGTCAGCGATGATGATTGGAATATTCTCCAGGTTCTTGCCTAGCAGCAGAAATATCCGCATGTTGTTTAAAACAAATTTAGCATCATGAAATATTACTGACATCTGCAAAGACAACTACTTCAAAACACAAATTAAGATTATAATTAACAAAATAAAACACACCACACACACACGCACCTACACATTATCATTATCATCAACTTCCACTTTTCCAATAAGGTGTTGCGCACGCATGCATGCGTTTGTGTGTGTGTGTGTGTGTGCGCGCGCGCACAAGTGTATGGTGTATGCCTGAGTACCCTATGTGGATTCCAGGGTCCTTTGTGGGGATTTTTAAAAAAAAGTTATAAACCCACTGCTTCCTAACAAGCATGTCATGAGCGTCAACTAATCAGGGATGTTGGAGTGCATCCGTCCTGAGGCGAAGAACCAACAGTCTGAATACAAATAAGCTAAGTCTGTAAAATGGATGTGTATGCAAAACTCAGGTTCTGGAACAGAGCTAAAGTTTAGAAGTGGATAAACAACCAGAACATTCTGCTGAAGTTTACAGCCGGTGAAAGCGAAGAAAAGTATGTATGTATGTATGTATGTATGTATGTATGTATGTATGTATGTATGTATGACGTATGCGTGTGACATGTATGTATGCATATATGTGTATGTATACCTAAATGTGCACATATGCAATGCATGCTTCTGTGTTTTCACTTGCCCTTAATATTGTGTATACTGCTGTATTAACATAACATGTTTCTAAATGAAATACAATTGTGGAGTGAGAGAGAAGTGTTTGAAAGAGCAATATGTAAGACAAGCCTGAATGCCCAATTTGTGACCCTTTGAAAATGAATTAGTCTGTTCGCTCTTTCTTGAACATATTGTGGTACCTATTTTACACTGGAGGTACCTGGCGGAATTTTTGAAATAATTTTTCTGTAACTCAACTGTAAATGAAGGAATCATTTGTTGCCTTCTTTAACCCTTTAGAGACAATGCGGCCAATCTATCAGCCAAACAGCTGAATAGCCAAAAAGACGACTGGGCGGATCTGTCTGCCCAATACAATACAAGCCTTGAGATTGGCTGGCAGGTTTTCATACCAGCCAATCAGACAGCTTCTCACATTTCTTGCATATGTGGGCTGTTCAACTGATGGCTTTTGAGAAAGTTTGATGTGTTCTGTCATATTACATCAATTATTTTGTTAGGTTACCTGTGCCCAACAATGCTGAAAATGACTGTTGCTTCATATCAACCAAAATATAGCAGGATATATGTAAAATATGCATATGTAAAATGCAGACTGTCTGCCAAGGAACAAATCGCGGCAAAACTAGGATTACTTGACAATTTCAAGAGGGGCAACATTGCAGACAATAGTAGCAGACGATAAAAGCGACCGTTGACAATTTCGAGCGTTTTTGCAGACGTATCAACCTGCCATATCGCTTTCATAGTCTGTAATGTCTCGAAATTGTCAATAGTCGCTATTATTAGCGACTATTGACAATTTCGAGACATTACAGAATATTGAAACTGATATGGCGGGTAGACCACGCGCTCCGACGCAGATTAGCAATACTGTTCGCCCTATTGAGGATTTAGCAGCTGTCAGACCTGCCAACCCGTATGCTCACACTTTTTGGCATGAGCGAAACGCGATTAAACTCACCGCCGAGCGTATCCCCTGCGCCGCTACATGCGGTGCGGATGGGGTGCTAAACTAAGTTGCCTAGGACTCACAAGCAAATTAATTGGAGGAAGTTGCAGGAGATGCGGTAGCTGCTGCTCGTGATTGTATTCCATGCTGCTGCATATAGTCTAGCCCCCTTCCGCGCGGGGGATACTGTCGTCGGTGAGGCACAGTCACAGAAACAGGTCCACAAGTAACATTTCGCTGAGACCCTGTTAGAGCATTTGTTTCGTTATACGGAGCCGGTATTTTTAACAGAACTGAGCCCGTAAGGATATTTTATGGCCACCATAATATTAGGAACGCCGTTTAGAGGAGAGCTTAAATTTTATCAAAACATGGATTATTTTACTTTTTTTACCAATGTAACTTGATTCGAATTTACTAGCGACCACCCAGATATCCCAATACCAACAGCTCAAACACTACATACAAACATAATGTTGAAAATATACGATACCTGTGCGCGCAGAAGCCTCATTTAAAACGGTCTGTAGCTTCTGCATACTTCGTCCAGCGACCGCCCATGTTAGCTTCTCCTCTTCTGCGACTCGGGCCACTTCGTCAACTGTGTACTGGCCGGTAAATCCACTGGCTCCAAACACGATGAAGTCAAACTTCTCCCCTTCCATCTTTCTAGGACTTTGTTTAATCAGAAAAGTACTTACTTATCAATCAAATAACGGTAATAAGCGAGAAATAAAACGATGAAAGATGTTGATGTATGAAGAGCGGGATCAAGACTGAACTAACGTCTGCTGCTGCCGGTCCAACCATAACAACGCTACGTGTTGACCGACCTTCAACCTTCGTGACCATGAACTCAAATGACACTATCTGAACATTCTTACTAATATTATCTTTCTTTTTGCCTTTTTTTTTTTACCTTTGCTAAAATTACACCTGTCTATTTAGGATATGTAATGCAAGGAGGTGAAAAACATGGTACCTTTTTCAGACCCCAAACAATTTAAAATAGGATTATAACAGGTTAGGAGGGGAAAAAATGTGGGGGGGGGGGGGGGGGTGAATGAAGCCCTTATAATTTTTTGGGGAGTAGGGAAGGCTCAATTTACTTAAGCATTGCCTAATAATAATAATAATAATAATAAAGTATTACTGCATGTTGAATAGGAAAAAATATAATATTTGAAAGGAGTTTAACCCTTTTTTTTTCAACTGCGCATTAATACATAATTTTATTATTAATTGTGAATGGCAGAATAAATATAATATTTTTGAAATAATATGAAATCTGTTAACAATAGCGTAAAAGAGCACGTCTAGATATGGAGGTGGGGAGGGTAAAACTTTGGCCCTTAAAATATTGCCGTAGGGCAGGCTATCAAAGTGCTAGTCAGAGGTGTGTCAAGGGGTGGGCGAAAGGGAGGGGGAGGGAAGCGGGCCGCACTGGGTGTCACCACTGATAGGGTGACATATTTATTAAAAAATGTGTTTTAACATTAAAAAGTGTGAATCTGTGTGTATACGGGGGGGGGGGGGGGATGTGGCAGAAAATTGTCCGCACCGGTACCATATGAGCTTGCAATGCCATTATCGGTGACAGGAAATTTTCCGCATCCAGGTACCAGCTGACCTTGTGAAGCCACTGGCCTGAGTCTTCAGTTTCTGGGGCCTTCGTTGGTAAGAATAACGATTTTTTATTGAAATCCCTGCTTGTCGACTAAATAACAACTACTTGCGGTAACCATCTTTAATTAGAAGAAGAGAGTTCCATTAGCCCCCCCCATATCCTCCCCCCCCCCAAAAATTATCAATAGTACGGATGTTGTAATAAAAAGAAAACATGCATAGCATCGATCTCGTCTCGCTCAGTCTGTGATCTTCCCAAACAGACAGAGTTAGCGTGATGCTGTTCGCGAAACAGAACTGCTGGTTTTACCAGCAACAAAGACTAACTTTAAGCTAAAATTAAAAGTCGACTTCAGTGCACTGGGTTTTGTCCCATGTATATATCTGTTTATCCGCCTGCCGAGAGCGTCGCACAAAGTACGAACCCTCCATAGCGCTTGGTACGACCCTATGGATCTCCATAAAAACTGCCCTCGCGAATTTAACAACGCCTCCGTGAAACGAACCCATGACATTCAGAGCTCAAAGCAAACGATTTGACCACTTCGCATAGAAAACCCCTGACCATTAATTCCCAAACTTCCTAATGTGGCGACCCTTGAATACAGTTCTTCCTGTTTTGACGACCCTTAACCATAAAATTATTTTCGTTGCCACTTCATAACCTCAGTAAATATGTGTTTTTCGATGGTCTTTGGCGACTCCTGTGAAAGGGTCGTTCGCCCCACAAAAGAGTCGCAACCCATAGGTTGAGAACCGCTGTTCTAGACCAATTATATAAGAGTAGCGCCAGGTTGTCAAACACAGACAGTTTAAATGCAGTGCAATCAACAACAACACTGACTATATTATAAAATTTCAGCAACAGTAATACTAATAACATAAGAGTTAATGATAGCAGTAAAATCAACAACAATACACACGCACATGCAGACACAAAACCTGATAATCCAACAAAACAACATCGAAAACAGTTGCTCAAAAAAAAAAATCAACACAACATTGGCAACCAGAGGCCTGCTATATGAAGAAAGGTTCCTTGGCTATCTTATTTAGGTCCTGTTATTTGTGGTGTGAAGTCACACCTGATATTCCTGTTCTTTGTCTTTCTAAGTCCGGTGTGGTACTTGAGATTTGTCTGCTGGGGTTCCGGCCACTGACTTGTGTTCTGCATAATATATAATTTCACCTAGTAATAGGTATTTCGTCCTTTTTAGGACGAATTTTTTTTTTTTATTTGAAGCCCCACCCTGGCTTTTGCCAAGGGCCGCAATATAGGCAGGCCATAAATATGGCCAATTGTCTGAACGCGGTTTCTGGGACCTCTTCACGGCGATCCTCATCCACATGGTGGCACTTTGTGTCATCGGGTGTTTGTCGCTTGTGTGATGTCCTGGTGGGGTAGAAAGTCTGCCAGTCAGTCAGTCACTGACTTGTGATGATATGGTCCAAAACATGACATGGATACTCAGACAGTGCAGAATTTCAGTATTCTTTTTATTCCTGACGCAAGATAGCCTAAAATTAATGGCAGGTAGTGGCTTGGGAAATAAAGGCGATCGGCCTGCCGCTGAGGATCACCTTTAACCTAACCTTTATCTCGTGACGATGCCCATTCGCAACATTTTTGCCTGTGAGAAAACTTAGTTGAACATTCCTGGTTTAAGGAGTTACGATACGGAATTATTTCTTTTTTCCATTGGTATTCCAAAGCACGCCCTTTTCTATTTTATTAGGGGGGGGGGGGGTGCCTAGTTGACCATGTTATTAGTGCACTTGTTTCCATAGAGAGGCGCACACGCCGTCTTAAAACGATTTCAGGCATGGTAACTTTAGCTTTCGATTTTTATATTGTCTAGTGTGTTCTATCTTTCTACTTATTTCTATGAGTGCCTATCAATACATTTTCAATTTCTTTATTAATATATAAAATTTATCGGCCTCAAGGGTTCTTTCCCTGTTTATTTATGTGAATGACGTCTACACCGGAACCTACCAATCAAATTAGGTTAGTTGCGTATCCTTTACAAGACGTTGCGAACAAACCCCAACAGCCCCTGGCCGGGGGGGGGGGGGGGAGGGGGTGTTGTTTTAGCCTGCTCATAATGCTCTGCCCTCAACTTCAGTAGCCAGTCAGGAGTTCCTATACGGATGGGGACAGTATAAGTTTGATTATATGTCCCTCTTGCCTTTCCTCTAAGTGTAAACTGTCGGCCATATCCACTGGTCACTCCCTGTAGCACAGTTCTCGTCACACAGTATAATGTGCGCAACAATGCCTCAGGCGTCCGATCTCACTACCCAGAGACCAGGGGGAATTACTAGAAGTCCAAGTCCACGTGAAAAAAATCGCATCCCTTACCGGGGACTGAACCCGGAACCTCTAGCAACCCCCCTAGTTATATATGTAGACCGCCTAATGCCTGAAATGTGTTGATGGAAATTTTCATGTAGTATGAGTTTCCGGTGCTATTATTGTTTCCTTTATTTCGCAGCGACAGAAAGATCAGGACAGGCATGTTTCGTGCAGAGTGGCGTGCCTCGTTGTGGAAGACACAGTTGATGAGTATTGTCTGGATTTTTTCACCGGGTCAAGCCGGTGTGTTGGGAAACGAACATGCTGACAGACTAGCTGGCTCTGCACAACTTGGTGGATTACTAATGCATGGTAAGGCAGGCGTGGTTAGCGCCTTGTGGGAGAGCGTGTACAGTTTGGAGAAGCAGATGGATCACCACAGTCTGGTGAGATTGTTGCATGGGGGAGTGACGAGAGGTTCTGGCAGATGCTTGAGGCTCAGAGGAAAGGCGAGACGGGCGTTTAATCAAAATGCTACTGACACCATTAGTATCGAAACTCTTCGCTGGCTACTGAAGATAGGGACGCAGCGCCTATGGGAATTGCCCCGAGTGCCGTGTTGTCGGCTTTTGAATCAAATCAAATCAATCTTGGCGACAGTGGTTCGGGTTTTTAATACTATCGTAGAAAGAGTAATTAAATCCAATTTGAAGCAGCATTACTCTAACAGATGGGTGCCATTTTTTTAATTTTTTTTTTTTTTATTATTGTTCAATTATTCTGGTTTATACACCATATATTTCTAAATATTCTATAATCCTGAAGTGTATTAGTTCAGCGATGATTTATAATAATCGTAATAATAATAATATTAATAATAAATTCTAGAATATTTGTGGGTGGGGTTAACCTGACTAGCTCAAGATGTCCCCTTTCAGCTCAAAATAGTTGTGAGATATTTTTAGCTCAAGTTGTCACGTAACATACAGCATAGTTACACTGAGGCACCACAAAACGGTTACCACGTGTTGGTGATTCCCCCCCCCCCCCCCTCTTTCCCAGAACAAAGCAATGGGAATACTTTACAGAAACTTCATACAACGATAACACACACCCCCCTACCCACCCCACTCCCAAACCAATTAGGAATTATCTTCCCCTTAGATAAAGACTAGTCGAAAGGTTAACTTGTTATCTGTGTCTTTCCTTCCGTCTAGTTTCCTGTTGGTGTTTTTTTATACAGACTGAATCAGTCACAGTAACAACGTTCTGGACATGTATGCAGAATAAGTGAAAATCAGCCACTACGGCAGGCATGAGAATTCAAGAACTACATCCGACAGTTCAACAGCTGACAGAGGACTTGAATGAAACAAAGCCAAAAGATTACTGTTGATAGGAAGGTCTGGCGATCTCTCTGGTAAACTTCTACACCCAAGTCAGAAAAAGAGCGACTTAACTGAGCAAAGTAAGTGAAGTCTTTTTTATTTTCTTCTTCTTTCCATTTTGTGTCGGCTCTGTGGCTAAGTCGATGCGAACACTTCGCTTCGTAATGCCGGGATGCCGGGTTCGATCCCAGCTGCGGGCAATGCGCCTTGTGTTGGTTTCGACAGTGGTATCAAGAAAGCCGACCGTCCAGAAAGCAATGGCAAACTACTGGACGTAATTTGCTTAGAGAAACCACACAACAGCCAGGGGCTGTTAGGGTTGGTTCTGCAACGTCCTGTAAAGGATACGTAACAACCTTTTTTCCATTTTGTAGCTGCTCTATCAACAAGACCATAGTTACCCCCCCCCCCCAACTCCCTTCCACTGTCAATGCGGTAACGTGGGACACTGAAGCCATGGTAGGCAATGCATAGACACGGCTGCCGATCAGGTCTTGGGGTCGATTCCTCACAAGAATGGATTTTAAAAATCCCCTATCACTACTCAGCCTTAAAGTGGTACTAGGTAACATTATGGGTAGTTAAGGCGGCAAGTGTTATGTTGACCAAATGATTTGGATGACAACACGTCACGTTTTCACCAGGACAGTCCCGTTTTTGTATGTTAAGGCGGGGGCCAAAACCTAAAAGTGACTAGGATTGTTCTGTTTTTAAAACTCTAAGAACACGCTCGATAATAATAAATACATATGGTTATATTTGGGGACCTTGGTGGATTTAATAGTTTAAGATACTTTTAATTCCTGAAATATGTTAATGGGGATTTTTTTTTAATTGAATAATTTTTCTTCTCCATCCGAGCAGCATATTGTTTCGTTGATTTCTTGGTGACAATAGTTTGCGTTTTAATAGTGCTATTGCCGAGCCAGTAGTCAACCTTCTCACCCAGGTGACCTAGAAGGAAAAAAGGCGGGGAAAAGGGGGTGGGCATGTGGAGTTAATTTGACTTCTTCTTCTTCTTCTTCTTCTTCTTCTTCTTCTTCTTCTTCTTCTTCTTCTTCTTCTTCTCCTCCTCCTCCTCCCTCTGCTTCTTCTTCTAGTGCATGTCGTGTGGCGTTGGTAGCCATCTCTACTGACAACCTCATGCCCCGTGCATTTTCAGTCTGTTCTGACACAGATGATCTTCTATGCCATAATGTCAGAGTGTCCAATCTTCTCTTTCAGTCTGCCTCTGTCTCTTTTCCCCTCCAACTTTTCTGCCCTCATTATGTATTCCAGTTTTCTTCTTCTAATGACTTTACCAAAGAATGTAGATTGTCTCCTTCCGATATGAACTATAAGTTCTCTTCGAGAGTCAGTTTCTTTCAAAACATCTTCATTACTCTTTTGATCTATATGGGTTGTTGTCAACATTCGTCTACAAAACCACATCTCCGTCGCTTCCACATAATTGTTCACTAATTCTGACTAATTTCTCTCTAATCTTTCTATATATAAAACCGAACTAGAGCACAACTACAATAATGCTAACAATTTTGAAGAAGAAAAACATGTATTACCACCAAATAAAAGTTTTAATACACCAACAAACAATAATAAACACGAACGATGCAACGACCAAGGCTACGATAATGTCTACGTCTTTTCTACGTCTCTTCTGCAACAGCTCCTCTCGTCTGGCCATCCACTGGTCGACCATATCCATACAGTCTGTATGCATGTAGGTTAGCATCTTCCATCTCTCCCTAAGACCCTCTACAGCACCGCTAAACATTTTTTCGTTCAAAACTCGTTCCGCAATTTTGGCATACTCAGCTTTGTCGGCGCCATAAGTTCGTTTCGACATCTCTTCTTTAGTCAGCTTGCGCTGAAATAGATCGAAATAGTGTTGTTAAACGAAATCTGTATATTATATGTGATTGCAGAACAGAAAAAGAGATTGAAACAAGAATCAAACCAACCAACAACGCCACGTATCAACTGACCCCAAATATAAAACACCCGGCTATCTCTATTGAAGAGGTTGGGAAAAGAATTCTCGCAAGTTATAGAGTCAGTTTTAACATATGGCTGTGAATACCGGACATTTAATAAACAGAAGAATCCTTAGAAATTCTTGGACAGCTAAGATGAGTAACCTAGATATTTTGAAAGAGGCAGATGCAATAAGACAACATATCACAAAATTAAAAAAAGAGACAGTCATCACATGTTTTAGAAGAGGGAAGATAGCACATGTTGTGACGACTGGAAAAATTTGTGGAAAGAGACACTGAGGAAGGCAGCGCAAGAAGATTCTTGACAACCTTTTATCGTGGAATGATTGATCATGCCAGTGGACAAAACACTTGATGATGATGATGATCCAAATGAAAACAAAAAGATAAATTATAAATGCGGTCTTCAAGCCAACCTTGTGCTATCAGTGTCGGACAATGACTACAGAACACGAACAAAACAAACTAATCACATGCAAAAAGAGATGTTTGTAAGAGGCCGTGAACAAAACTTGAAGAGATAATATGGGAAACGAATAAATAACAAGAACAATCATAACAACACCTACAATTGATTTAATTCAAAAACAAAGATTGAAATGATCTGGCCATTTATTGAAAGAGAATCCGATGATGACAGCAACAATGATGATAATGAGCCTACAACATAAAAGTAGAAATATCAAGAGAAAGAGGACGAATAAGAACATAGACTGAAGGGGTCAATGATACATTGAGACTCCACAACATCACAGCATAACGGGCAACCGAGCGTGCCAGAGCTCGTAAACCTATAATCTGTTAACCTACGATGTCCAGCGACACAAAACAGAGTATGGACTTTAAAAAATTGGGGGGGGGGGGTGGGGGGGAACATAGTTAACACTGTGACCGCCTACGCTTATCGACGTGGTACAGTCTAGGCAACCATCAGTCCCTGGAGACCTTGCAGTTGTCCCCCTGTTTTGGGGAAAAACGTCTGCTATAACTATCCAATGCGGGAATGGCAGTCTCTGGCAGATGGTCCGCAATTAAACGTTGACACTGTCGTTCTGAGGTCAAAGCAACATTCATCCTTATTGTGGGATGCAATTTTTTGTTATTTAGAAGCCCTACCTTGGCTCTAGCCAGGGGCTGCAATATTAGCCTAACGGTTGAACGCGGTTTCCGGGACCTCTCCACGGTTGATCATCATCCGCATAATGGCGCTCTGTGTGATGTCCAGGTGGGGTTAAAATTACTTACTTACGTTATGAGGCTGGATTTCTCTCAGACGTTTCCTTTCTACAGCTAGCTGCGTTTGGCCTCTTTCAAACTGCTTCAGTCCGTTTTTCACTGTCTGCCTCCAAAGGAGTTAGTCTGCAGCTGATCTCTCCTGTCTGTGCCATTGTTGATATCTGTCAGGTCACGTTCGCGTAAGTCCTTATAGCGTAGCTCTAGCCTTCCTGCAGGTCTTATCCCTGTTACTAGTTCACCACACAGGAGATTCTTTGGAATGCAACCGTGCGTGAGAGAGAGAGATGTCCCAACAGGCGTAGAAGTCTTTGCTTCAGTAGGAAGTACACTGTTGATATTCCTGCTCCTTTGAGTACATATTCATTGGGAATAAAGTCTCGCCGTGATATACAAAGAATACGTCGCATTCAACGCTTGTGGAAGGTATTCCATCTTTTTCCTTGAGGAGCACACAGAGTCCAGCTTTCACTGTTGTAAAGGAGCTTGCTCAGGACGCATGTTTCATAAACTTTAATTTTGGCCATGACCGTCAGCTTTTTGTTTAATCGCACTCTTGTTTTCAGCGTGGAAAGCATCATAGAAGCCTTTCCTATTCGTGTCTCTAGTTCTGCATCTAGGGAAAGATACATGGTACAGTAAAATATCGTTAATATGAATTCCAAGTGACCAAAAATCCAGTTCATGTTGGAAAATATTCACGTTAACCGGGGACTGGTAATAGCCTGCTGGGAACAACATTTGTAACCGAGTGTTTATGTTAATGAGTTTTCTAATTGAGCTGGTTCGTATTAGCGAGGTTTTACTTACTTTGTGATGATAATATTAATGACGATGATAGTAATGACGATGTTGGTGATCATGGTGATAATAATGACGATGATGATGATGATGATAATTACGATTATAATGATGATATTGACGATTCTAAAGATAATATTGATAATAATAACAATGATGATGACGATTATGCTAATAATAATGATAATAATAATGTAAATAATGATGATTTTGATGATAATACTAATATTAATGACAATGACGATGATGATTATAATGATAATAATGATATAATGACGATGATGATAATGATGATGAAGATTCTGATGATTATGACAAAAATGATTATGGTGATAAAAATGACGACGATGATAATGATGTTTATGATGATGATAATGATGGTAATAATGATGATAATGATGATAATGTTGATAATTATTATGATGATATTAATGATTATAATGATGATGATTATGGTGATAATAATAACAATAACGACGATGATGGTGTTTATAATGATAATAATGACGATGATGATAACGATGATGGCTGAGACAAGTTCCTAGCGTCCTTGCCTCCCCATTTGGTGCTCATTTATTAAAATCTTCCTAAAGCAGAGTTGTTCAGACTGTCGCGACATGTTAGTTTAGTGTGTACGTTGTAGTGTTAAAGTGTGTCACGAGAAAGTAAAGTGTTGGCCCAAAATAATCGACATATTTATGCTCTTACAAAACTTTTGGCTGCTAGTAGACTGAATTATTATGTCGTGAAATGATGTTTCAAAAGTACGCAACCAAAAGAAATGTTTAAAAACCTTTGTCCAAGAGAGAGAGGGAGAGAGAGAGAGAGAGAGAGAGAGAGAGAGAGAGAGAGAGAGAGAGAGAGAGAGGGAGAGAGAGAGAGAGAGAGAGGTGATGGGAAGAACAAGAGGAGGAGGAGAAGAAAACAAGAAGAAGATTTAGAGTGTTAAAAACAACCATTACCTTAAAGCTTCTCTTGCGAATGACGCCCGTTTCAGTAACTCCAATAATCTTAGTTTCCGTGACTTCCTCTGCATCTTCATCCTCCTCTCCACAACCACCACCGCCACGCCCATCCCCTGCGCCACCAATACTGGAGTCGGCGACACTAACAGTGGGAATCACCAGCTCGTTTTGTGACGTCATGATCTGTGCTTTGAGAGAACGCCCTATAATAAATCAACAACCAAATTAACTCTCGCATTCTGGAGAAAATAAATCGTAAAAGCTAATAATTGATAACCATGCTCTATTCGAACTAACAGAAAAAGGTAGACGGTCCCAAGCAACACATGGGGGGTTTCTTGAATCCTAATTTCCCCTCGTGGGTTAGTCCGAGGCCTCATTTTGGGGTTTATTGAAACGTTTTTTTTAGGCCTAAATAAGCAGATATCATAGACTAGCTGTAAATACCAACACAGTGTGTCGACTTGGTTTAGACAGTGATACTGAGAGTGGAATGTCAAATTTGTTTAGAAAAACAACAGTAAAAAAGAACTGCTGGAGTTGGTTCTGCAACGTTCTGTAAAGGATACGCAAATAACTAGACAACCTGTGGCAACCTGGGATAAGAGACAGCAGATGGCAATGTGATAGGTCAAGGCCGTCTGTGGGAGACTTCCTTAGATTGGCCAAGGCCGTCTGTTGGATACAACCATGGATGGGCCAAGGCCGTCTGTTGGATACAACCATGAATGGGCGAAGGCCGTTTGTTGGATACAACCATGGATGGGCCAAGGCCGTCTGTTGGATACAGGCCGTTTGTTGGATACAACCATGGATGGACCAAGGCCATCTGTTGGATACAACCATGAGCGAAGGCCGTTTGTTGGATACAACCATGGATGGGCCAAGGCCGTCTGTTGGATACAACCATGGATGGGCCAAGGCCGTCTGTTGGATACAACCATGGATTGGCCAAAGCCGTCAGATACAACCATGGATTGTTCGAAGGCCGTCTGTTGGATACAACCATGGATGGGCGAAGGCCGTCTGTTGGATACAACCATGGATGGGCCGAAGGCCGTCTGTTGGATACAACCATGGATGGGCCAAGGCCGTCTGTTGGATACAACCATGGATAGACCAAATCCGTCTGTTGGATACAACCATGGATTGGCCAAGGCAGTCAGATACAACCATGGATGGAGACAGTCCTAGATGGGCCAAGGCCTGTCTGTTGGAATAACAATTAGCACTTAAGATTCTGATCGAGCACGTTGGTTGGTAATGTATTATCTGTGAAGTAGACGTGATCTATGGAGATATATAAACGCCCACGCCAGTCGGCAGAGCCCGCTATGAAGATGAAGAACATTTTTGAAAGCAATGTAGTTTATATAGAGATTAACACTCCACAGAGTGTTTGTTATGACGTTTTCTAGATTTTTGGAGAGTTAACGGAAAGTCAAAGCATTCATCTGATTGCTACAATGGAAGTGTCTCTGCTATCAGCCAGAACACTGTGCTTGAATTCCCATTGCACCCTGATTGCACTTTTCTATTTGTGTGTTTCTGGGCGTGAGAATTGGATGTGCATGTTCTTTCACAGAGAGGGTTAGTCCCTGGTATAGCATGACAAGATTTGTGGTTCACAGCTTACTGCTGACGCGACCTTCATGAAAGAGCAGAATTGCCTGATCATGGGTTCTTAGCAGTACTGGATTTAGGCAATCTGCAAGGGCCTTATAAATTTTTTTTTTTTTACAAATACAATTTTCGCTAAATATATTTTTTAAAAATGTATAAGGGTATATTTTCTCAAGCTTACACCGTATTTATTCTAACTTTTAACCTATTTGAAGTGAGCTGACTTGAGCAGAATTGATTCTTTTTCTTTTTCATCTTCTTCTTCGCGTTCACCGGCTGTAAACTCCTGCGCAAATTTCTGGTTGTTCGTCCACTTCTGGACTGCAGTCCTGTTCCAGAACCTAAGTGTTGCGCGTGCATCCGTTTGACAGATCTGATTAATTTGTATGCAGACTGTTGGTTCATTGCCTCTCAGACAGATGCACTCCGACTTTGAAGGAAGCACCCAGTTAGTCGACTCTTACGACACGCTTTTGGGTAGACAGTGGATCTATTCTTGTTTTCCCTTTAATTGGGCCCCGGAACTCACACGGGGCAGAGTTGATTCAAGAACGGACATCTTAGCTCTCGGGCACTCCCATAAGCGCTACCTTCCGCATCTTGAACTGATTAAAGTGAAATGCACATGTTCCCCTTTTTATTAACTAATTTAACTAATATATATTTTCAAGTTTTATCAGATAATCTTGTGTATTTTAAAACGGTGGGCCTATGAGCTTTATATATATATATATATATATAGATATATATATATATATATATCTATATATATATATATATATATCATATATATATATATATATATATATTTCTCCACTTACATCAAGTCTAAGACGTGAACGTCGCACCTCCTTCCCGTCTCCACTTACTTCTAAGACGTGAACGTCGCAATCCTTCCCCCTTCCTCCTCCTCCCCTCCTCCTCCCCTCCTCCACCTTTTTTTCGCCTCTTGCCCTAGAAAGTTTGCAACAGGGCTAATTGACCCACCCTCGTTTCCTCCCAACCATGTACAGTATAGAACTTTCTTTTCACCTGTTTCTGTTCACAAGGACAAGATACTAAGGAGAATGAACCAGCTGACCCTGAAGGACACAGACAAAAGGAACACACAGGGACCAAGACAAAAAGGACCGGACTGTAGGTTAGAGACTTAAAGCCTGGAAACTGGAGCACATTCTGCTATCTTAGCTGCGAAAGTGGTGCAATTAACCCAGACCACAAATATAACTGGAAACCACTTAGTGGTAAACTGATGAATGACAAGCTAGATGTTGTGAGAGCCCTCTAGGAGCGAGTAAACAGTGCGGAAGCGAAAATAGATCATTACGGTCGGAGGAGAATGGCGCTGCGGGGCGTCGGCCAGGGATTCTGGCAGACGCTCAACACTCAAAGGAAGGCGAGACGGATATACAGTCAGTACTAGTGTCATCGGAATTGAAACTCTTCGTTTGCTGCTGAAGATGGAGACGGGGCTGTTATGGGTGTGTCCCGAGTGCTGTGTTGTCGATTCTTGATTCAACATTCAACGTAGAAGACAACTGGTAAATTAAATTAATTTTGGAAGGATCCAGAAACACATGATGCCTTGGCCTGTGCTGAAATAATAAAATATTTGTTTCCTATTTGTTCCCCCAGATGTTTTATCATATTTTTTTTTTTTTTTTTTTGCAATTCTGCATTTTATTATTTTTACTAATAATACTATTATTAATATTATTAATATTATTATTATTATTATGGCATTTTTTTTTTAACGGTAGGCAGTATCTAAACCTTTTAAAGGGCATGCTTTTTTTCAGCACTACAGTAATTAGACATTTTGTGGCGAGTACCGGCACCTTTTAAACATACTTTCTGGCTAATACCAGTATATTTCTTTCTAACAAACCTAGATTGTTATTATTACGCATTTAAGCAAGGTGTAGGCACACTGATTCCCCACTCTTTCCTCAGTGTTTTCTTTGTGTCAGCGCCTCTGTGACAGATAATATCTTACCCATCCTATCTCAACTTGGTCGAGGTCATGACCTCCGGCAGAGGTAAAGTAAAGCTGACGGAGGTCGCGACATGGCTGAGGTCATGACCTCTGGCAGAGGTAAAGCATGGCCAATAATAACTAAAGTTTGGCCATGGGTAAAGTAAAGCTGACGGAGGTCGCGACATGGCTGAGGTCATGACCTCCGGCAGAGGTAAAGCTAAAGGAGTTTGTGGTTGAGATCATCTGTAAAACTGATGTCTCGGTGATAAAACTAACGTAAATCACGTCACGGACCGCTAATATACCCACTAGCTCTCACTTTTGATTGGTAGTTTCTGAGCCTGTCACCTTGGCACAAGTTACGGGGGTGTTCGGCAATATCGTTGATATCGCGTATTGTTTATTTCAGCACGCCAGCGCTTTTAACACTCCAAAAACGTGGACAAACTGGGTCTAACACAACTCTCTCGAGAGTGCTGCAACCTGTGTCATATGCATTCTCTTTCTCGGAAGAAAAACTTAAATGCAAGACAAACCAGAAAGCAAACAACAGAGCGGTACACTCGTAGCCTGCACTAAAGTAGACCAACCCAACAAACTTGTGATTGAAACGTGACCTACTTTGTTTGGGGAGAATAACTTAAACCTAACCGTCTCAGTCAATAAAGAGGTTAAGTTCCTTGCAGTGCTAGATTTAGACATAAGGTAACTAACCTTCGGGTATCGCCATCTGCAGGGGCCTCAACAACCCCTCCCCTATCATCATCATCATGTAGCAGGTCCTTTGCAGAACGTCGCTCTAATCACAGTCTGCCTGTAAGAAACTCGGTCTCTTGCCAGTTCTCCCGCCTCATGAACTTTCACACTCAAGGAGTCACTTATATCCTGTGCCCATCTTCGTGTCGGTCGGCCTCTGCCCCTCATTCCTGCTACCATGCCTTCTGCTATAATTTTTTACCTCCCCCACAAAGGTAATTTTGTTTTAATAGAACCCTTAGGAAGATTATTAAACATAATTTATGAGATTCTGCAGACAAATTCTTCATTATTTCTTTTACTAACAATTAAGCAACAGAATATTCTTCAACATCCATATATTTAAAAGACCTGTATATTTAATCTTTTCCGAGGTCTTCCACGCGCTCTATACCCATTGTAACGTTTTAGTGTGGCTCGCTGTGGCGGATAGTATCAGGGGATTCTTGTTATGTGCCCAAACCACTTCATTTGTTGTTCTTTGATGACCTGTAAGACTGGCTTTATTCCTAGCATTCGCCTGATTTCGTGATTTCGTATTCTGTCTTTCCTTGAAACTCCTGCAGCTCTTCTAATACATTTCATCTCTGTTGTCACAATTTTACGTTCATTAGAGGATGTAAGTGTACACGTTTGGCACAAGGGGGAACAACTTAGCAAAACAGGACCTGCAGTCGATTCCTTTATTCCGTTCCACCCTGGGGAATCTATTCGTTCATTACACAGTTAGAGAAAGCTTGAAGCCACCCATCTGGCACATTGCGTGACCTTCCAGGTAGAACAAACCAATTAACTGATCTGGCGAGGCTAAACGACTAGGACA